TACTTTTCATTGGTGACATTAAAAGGAAATTTTGAATTTACACCATCTGCCCAGATGGCTGGTTTGATTCACTCATTGCTTTAGGGACATACAAATGGAAGATTGAGATCTAGCAGGAGATGAAATATGGACGAGGCTGATCACATTATCTTGATCTCAGTCTAGGATATCTCTGCCAGAAAGGAGCAGAGGCAGTTCACAGTTCAGCACTGGAGTTGTTCTGCTGAGCACATAGCCTCATGTCCAAGAAGAAAGTGATGTGTGACTGAGTAATGCAGCCTTTATTTGTTAAAATTGAAAGCCTTGTTTTTCCTTAAAGGCATGTTCACTTTTGTGTGGGTGTTCAGGTACAGTTCAGCTTTGTTTTTCAGCTGTGTTGAAGGAATATTGAACGAGTGGAGTTGTTTCAGTGTCCATTTACATTTGATCACTGTTGCATCAATTTCCTAACTCAGAAAGCATATATCCATGCATTGAATTTTTCCAGGTGTGTATTACAGGCACAGCAAACAAAATGAGGCCAAATGCCACTGATCTTCTACTGATAACTTTCTTCTTACTCAATGTTTGAGTGTATTTTGCATTGGTTTTAATTCAGTTCTAGACTTAGATAAGCAGAGTGGCTTTTGCATTAATAATCAGCTTTAGTTTTGTTTATTTCATTTCACATTATATTAAAATCCTTCTCAAACCCAAGGAAATATTTTCTTTTGTTGGCTGTATTTTAAGATGGTGATTTGGCTATGTGATCTCCTCTTCCCAATCTGTGTTATTTCTGGTCAGGCTGTGTATATCTAGTTGTTCTACTGTTTGGTTTGTAATCAGTGTTTTGGGAATCTTTCCAACTTCAGAGGTTGACTTTCAGGTTTGTGATTTCCTGAATGATTTTTAAAAAAAATTTTTAACCCTTCTCCTCTCCTATCACTAAACTATTTAGCAGGGTTTGTGGAGTACTGGAAATTATGTTAAATTCTTCCCTGGAGTGTATCTCTTCAGGTGCTGTTTGTTTTGGGATTTTTTTTCCTACTTAAATGGTACCTTTGTGGTACATAATCCCATTTGCATTTACAGGCATGACTACCTAGACTTTATATTACACCCAGTCCTTGATGAGATGTGATGATAGGCAGAGGGGATGCAATAAGTCAGTAGAAGGGTGAGAATTGGATCCAAAAGGACCTACTCTTTTAACAATAGCTTTTTTACTCTTATGTTTGGACAGCTAATGTGTGTGCATGTGTGCATGATAGGAAACTCCCCCAACTGGGCAGAGAAAATCAATAATATATAATTTTACTTACTAGAGCACAGGAAGGGCATGCAGGACGAAATGATGCTATTATTTCCCTTAACTCTTTGATGTTCAGCAGTCTTCATCTTGGTCTGAATTATGAAAGTGAATGATCTGAAGAGACTAATTAATTACTTTACCACAAAGGAAGCTGAGGGAAGCAGATTACAATTTTGATCTCTGTACAAAAAGGTTTGTGTGCAAGTTGAATTAGTCCCTTGAGTACCTTATGGTTTGCAGTATGTCCAACAAAAGGGCACTTGTTTCTTTATGAAAACACTCTGTGCATACCAGCCTTCCCCTGCCAGAACTGGAGGGCTATTCAAGCTGCTGATCAGCATTTCCCACTAGTGTTGGCATTTTCACCTAGAAATATCTAAATACTGTAATGTAGTCCAGGTTTTTCTTTTACATTGCAGTAAAACAATGAATTGTCATACCTGTAAACCAACCAGACTAAAGCATACTGAAATAATTTATAAGTGTTCAGCATCACTATGTGTTATGCAGCATGATAAAGAGTGAAGATGAGCTTTTTTGACACATAGCTGTATAGTAGATTGTCCTCTAAAGAAAATTGATAAACCAAATCATAGGCTTCCTCATCTCAGAATGGTAACAAAGCAGGGAATTTGTGTCAGGAGAAGGGTGTAATAGTGTGCATCACTTAAAACTACAAATTATTCTGTGGGTAACAAGGGAAGATGGGTTGTAGTGATGTCTCATCTTTCCTCATGGGTTCTTCTCAGTGGTGGCACTGGTTCCCTCCCTCCCTCTGCTCTTTTCCTCTGTATTTTTTTTTTGATACAAAGCCCATCCCTCCTGCAGGGTGCACAGGTCCCTCCCTGCCATGTGGGCCATGGCTGGCTCTGACCTTTATACCTGCTCCTCTCCCACTCAGTTCTGGCTGTGTGGCATTAGTCTGCTTCTCTGCTTTCCCTAAGGATGGATTTTTCACAAAACATTTTTACATCTAGTCTGTTGGAGATGACTGAATTCAAACCTACAGGCTGTTTTTGAGCAAAGCATGGGATGGACATCACAAGTACTCTGCTGTTGTACAAGTCTCCTTTTTCTTCAGCAATGCATTTAAAAGGATGCTATAAATACTTTATTGGTCTTCTGCCCCCAAAAATGTATTTTAGGGATTGGATTCTCACCAGTTTTTCTTGAGGGTTTAATGTATTTCAATCTTTGTATTTCATCTCTTTAAACTTTGTGTTGCATACTTGCCATCAGCCTCATCATGCATCAGGGTTGCATGAGTATTGTTGCTACAACCGTGTGTCTCATTCCTTAGGTGGTAGCACTTTGTATGAGTACCACTACCATGAGTAGTAACACTGTGTTAATACAGAAACACAGTCTTAGTTATCCCTTTTTCAAAGATGCAAATAAGTACCCTTTTTTGTTACTATTTGCTGTTAATCATGTCTTTTGTTGACAGTGCTGTTCACATTTTATTGTGCTGACTCCCTAGCCCTATAGGGTGCTCTTTGCATCTCCTGGTTTTCCCCCTTAAAGCTTTCACTGTGAAAATGCCTTGCACTCTTGCTTCCTTGTGCTCAGCCTTGCTAGAGGCTCTATGCCTTCACACTCTGTCTTTTCTCTCTTCTGGAATATGATATCTCTATGCACTTTTGTAATTTTATTTTCCTTCCTAAGATACTTGAAGAGCTGGAAGAATTAAAAAGTGAGAGGTGTTACTTCTTTCAAAGGTACTAACAGTGTCTTGTTTGTTCTGGAGGTAGTATTGTTGGTTGTTGAAACTAATAGTTCTGCCAGCTCTGGATGTCTGAATTTCTCCTCTTACCATATTTCCCCTTGGAGCTTTTCTAGTTCTTGTTGATTTCCTTTTGTTCTTGGGAAAAATTTGGATAGTACAGGTGATGTGTTCTCTAGCTCATACCATGTCCTAGCAGAGACTCCATTGTGTTAAGTTTGCAACCTCATCCAAAAGTTGGAGAGCTGAGAGTGTTAAGGGGAAAGAGGGAGACTTCTGAATGGTATGTGTGAGCTGTTTCCATTTAAAACATGGTCAATGTTTCTCTTAAAAGTAGAGCTATAAAAAAGCAGTTGAAGCAGTTGAAGTGATTGAATTCAATTTGAGAGAGCTACACAAATCTTAACAGTTTTGGTATCCCATCTACAATCCTCCTGTGTCAGGCAGCTAACTGAATTCGGAAGTTAAATAACTTGTTGCAATCCACAGGAAGCAATAGTCTCATTTTGAATGATAATATGAGTTCCTGACTTTGTGCTCTACCCCAGCAAGTAAATCTGGCTATCTACAGCTCACTCTATTCCAACATACAAATACTATTGAAGTATTGAGCAATGGTCTTCCTACTCTATTCTAGAAATGCTCTATCCTTGTCCCTTGTATAATATAAAACATTGCCTGAAATGTAGGTGGAAACATTGGTATGTAAATAAATATATATAAAGAGATGTAAATAAGTAAATATATATATATATATATTATAAAAGCATGGGATTTGAAGCTGGTCTGTCAAAATGAAGCTGATACATCTGGGTCCCCACATGACTAGAAATAACATAACACTTTTGTGCTGATTTTCTCACCTGTTTCTGATGCTGTTAGCAAAGTGAAGGAGGCCTTTGACAATGCATAGGAGCCAGCATAATGAGTGTCTTAGGTGCCTTGGGATATGTGCATGTGGAGTGCATATCAACTCCTTAGCATTTACTTTAGTTGAAAAGGAAGGAGTTGATAAATTTGATTTTTAAAACAATAAGTGGCTGATGTAATCAATATATGGACCACAGTGAATACTGGAGATTTTGGGTAACTGCTGCTTCAAAGACACTTTGCACTTTTCTGTTTTAATTCTGTTTTTTTCCTGAAACTGGGGTTAAATATTTTTGGTCATATGTAGCTGTTCTGGCTTTGTACTTGGGACTGTTTGTATTTGTAGTCATATGTAGAGGAGAAAAAAAAACGTAATAATTTTCTTGAAGTACAGAGTGAAGAAATTGAAAATTGCAGATTTCCTGAATTCTATGTCCCACTTTCTTTATCTTTGACCTCTAAAGTACTCCCAGCACTGACTTTACTTGCCATGTCTTGAAGAGAGCACTGATAGTGACAGGAAGGCCTGACAATACAAACACAGCAGTTTAATTCAGAGATGGACAGAAATGCTTCCCTACTGAATAGCCTTCACAGGCGTTTAGCACTCTAGTTTTCTTCTGAAATCTACAGTTCTGCATGGAGGGGAAAGAAATGTGAAGGAAAGTGTTTCTTTGAGTTAAGGAAATATAGGGCTTTTTAATATGAAGGAGGAAAAAAGCCTGGGACATTCCTCTCCCCCCAGCCCACAGACAATGCATAAACCATCTTCCAGTACAGTATTTAGAAACTCAGTGCAGATCCAAAAAATTAAGATACCACCATTAAGATAAAAATTAAATGAATTGGACTAATTTTTTTATGATGCAAGGGTGTTTCTCCCTTTGTGGTATGGGGTTTTGATTCTGTAAGGTTTGATTGTTCATAATTCTACGTGTAGATTTATATTTTAGTAGTGGTGTTCACTTAGTTTTGTGTTGTAATCATCTTCTGTCAATTTTCTTTTATGATGTGCCAAGTAGAATAAAAGCATTGTGGATAGTCTAAAATGTGTCAGTTCTAATTGTCAAACCAAAACTGACTATGGGCCTTTTTTATCTTTATCCTTCTTTTGAGAATAAAGACCAGTTTCTTCAAGATGAAGTTTCATCTTCAGTGTCACATCTTGCAACAAAGGTAAATACCTGTTCTTTGAAAATGTAACATTTAATATCATATATATATATTTCAGTCCATGTATGTGAGGAAGTTGCCAGCATTTCATGGACAGCTGATAAGGAATTTATAAAATTTTCATTGATGGTTTTATAATTATGAATGATCCTTGGTTATGGTGTTCTCATTGAAGTAATACTAGTGGTGCAGGATTAGTTGGAAAGCTCCATTATTTGCTTTCATTAGTGGGGAGGGGAAGGCATCCTGTGTTGTTTTTTTCCTCCCAATGATGGCTATTCAAACACAAGATGAAAATAAGAAGCCACAGGAATTACTGAAGTCTAAAGAAGCTCTAAATTCTAGCTGCAACTGGCAATAAAAACATGAAGAGTAGAAGAGTTTGGGGCTGCTTGTTCCATTATATGTCCACTGGCTCTCTGACCACAAGAGGTTAAGGATTTTACTTTGTATCTCTTTCAGGAAAGAGAAGTAGGCATGCAAGTTAAATTTTTTTACCTTGATATGTGTCCAAGAATCTTCTTTAATGTTCTTAAAATACATTAGTAGAAGATGAAAGACATGGAAGTTATTATGATAAGCTAGAGCTTGTTTTGAAATTCCATAGGTATAAAGCAAAGTATTTTAAAATACATTCATTAGTGTAAGAGGATACTTTACATTAATATGTATAAACTGAACATCTGTGTCTGTTGCTTCTTTTTGTTCCACTTCAGATGCAGCAGGATTTTCCTTGCAAATAGAAGTCAGATTGTACTATACCTTTTTCTAATCTTTTGAAGAAGTATATTCTTTTTTATGAAAACAGAAATTACCATATATTTTATACCAAATGATAAATGTTTAGGGAGAGAATCTTAAAAAGAATCTATTTTCTATTGAAACTTTTTTGCCCCTTTCTTAGTCATTCAGGGAGACTTACTAAGTGTGTGTTCTGACTTAAAAACCCAGAAATGTCACTCGATAAACCACTGCAGTATTTTTGTCTTTTAAAGGAAAACTCTCTTGTCTTAAAAATGTATTCTCAAGAAAGCACCTTATCCTTCCCATCTTCTCTTTGTAAAAGCAATTTTCTATTTTATTTGGTTGTTCTGTTGTCTTAGAGCAGTGTCAGTACAGAGATATTCCAGAAGTTCTAAATTTTAATATGTTAATAAAAGGCTGATGAATTGCATGTGTGGCCTTTCCAGTACATGCATGCCATGAATAAAGTAGTCTCCACATTGCAACAATGTGGTGATGAGCAGCAGAATTCTTGAAGAAGAATGTAGTGGATGAATAGTGTGTGCTCCTTGGGGAAACAGCCTTCCTGGTCTCTTAAAGCCTGAGTTTTAAGGCAGTGTTGATGCCCATTTGCAGAGCAAAGCCTTTGACCTAGGTTTGGAGGTCTAAAATTGGGAGCTAGTCCTAAAGGCTGCAGGTGGAGCTTGGAAAATGTTCTTAGATCCTGCTCTTGCAGGAAGCTGCCCACTGAGCACTGAGGACAGGCTGATTGCAGTGCTGAACTTTTCTAGTTCTCGCATCACAGCTCTCTAGAAAGGCAGGTATAGGTGGTTAAAAAACCTCGTGACAGCTCAAAGTGAGGAACCATGAGGGCTCCAGTGGTGCTCTGCAAAATGCAGAAATCTGGAACCTATGTTCACACTCTGCCTGGACGTGGGAATTAGAGAGTAAGTCCTATGAGGAGTAACTGAGGGAGCTGGGAGTGTTTAGCTTGGACAAAAGGAGGCTCAGGGGAGACCTTTACAACTACTTGAGTGGAAGTTGGGGGCAGGTGGGGGTCAGCATCTTCTCCCAATTAGCCAGCAACACGACAGGAGGAAATGGCCTCAAGCTGCTTCAGGGACGGGTCAGGTTGCATACAGAAGAGGAATTTCTTCACTGGATGCATGGTTAGCATTGAAATGGGCTGGCCAGAGAGGTCGTGGAGTCACCACTCCTGGAGGTGTTTGAGGAATGACTGGATGTGGTACTCAGTGCCATGGTCTGGTTGACCACCTGATGTTCAGTCACAGGTTGGACTCGATGATCTCAGAGGTTTTTTCCAACCTAAATGATTCTATGATTTGGCCTCTGAAAAACTCAATCTTTGGGGGTCTCACTGTCATGCTCATGTCTGAATTAAAAGTATAGTAGAAACTTCATCTGCAGTTGTTTTTAGGCCAGATTTTGAAAAGAGACAAAGTTTTGAGAAACGAAATAGATCAAGAACCTTAATTCATGCAAATCCATGGAACCTGATGAGATAAATTTGTAGGTTCTGAGGGAACTGATACAGAAGTATCCAGCATACTTGAGAAGGTATGGCAATCTGATGGAGTTCCTACTGACTGGAAAATGGAAAACATGACCTCCATTTCCAAAAAAGGAAAGGAAGACCAGGGAACGGCAGACCATTCAGTTTCATCTCTGTGCCAGGCATGGTCATGAAGCCAATCCTCTTGGAAACTCTACTAAGGCTAATGAAAAATAAGGAGGGAATTTGTGACAGCCAACATGGTTTCATTAAGAGCAAATAATGCCTTTAAATTTGATGACCTTCTACAACAGATTTACAGCACTGGTGAATGAGGGAGGAGCGACTGATGTCATCTGTGTGGACTTGTGCAAAGAATTTGCACAATCTCAATATCTTTAAACTGGAGAGACGTGACAGATGGATCATCCAGTAGATAAGAAATTGGCTGTATGGTCACATGCAAAGAATTACGGCCAGTGGATTGATGTCTGAGTGGAGACCAGTGACAAATGACATTCGTGAGGGATCAGGGTTGGGACGAGACCTGGCACCATTGTTGCTGGGGACAGGGACAGTGGCATTGAGTGCACCCTCTGCAAGCTGGTGGATGGCACCAAATCGTGTGATGCTGTCAGCAAGCTGGAGAGAAGGGATGCCATCCAGAGGGACCTCGGCTCGACAGATGTGGGCCTGTGTGAACTTCATAAAGTTCAACAAGGCAAAGTGCCAGATCCTGCAGCTGGGTCGTGGCAGTCCCAAACACAAGTACAGGATGGGTGGGGAATGGATTGAGGACAGCCCTGCTGAGAAGGATTCGAGGGTGCTGGTACACAGCAAGAACCTTTGGTCTGCACATCAGGAGCTGGCTGACTTGAGAAAATCCCCATCACCACCAATGCTTTAATATATCTGTAAAACAAATATGGAGGGGAGTTGGTTTTTAAATTTTGGTTATCTGTCTTCTTGCTCGTTTTGAAGAGGTTTCCTGTCATGTGGGAAGAATGCTCCTTTAGTTAAAGCTGATTGGCATTTTTATAATTGTTAAACACTTAGTTGTAACTTTATTGATCTGTAGGATACTTACATAGAAAATTATATCTCTAGCTTTTTATTTTAGCTTCATGTTTTTTTAGGGGAGGAGTGAGGGAAACTGTGGAACAAACAATTATTTCTTCTCAGTCAAGGTCAAGAGGAAAATCCATTCTTTTTGTTTATATTTATAAAAAAATTCTGCAAGTGTTTTGTGAAGTGCCTCTTACTTAACTGGAGAATTTTGATTCACCAGTTGTCAATCCTCTGTGAAAATACTTGTGAAGGTCTGCTGAAACGGTCCAAATACAAATTTCTGGAAATCTCATTTCATACATGCTGAGCAGTGCCTTTTAAGGGATTAGCTGCTTAACTACACAATGGTATTGAAAGTGCTGGTTCTCACTGCAGGTGTACAGCAAGAATGCCCTGTAATTGCTCATTTTGCTTGCTAAGACTCTGTCATGTGGCTTGCTCTAGCCCGCAGAGAGTGATTTCTGTGCTCCAGAGTCCTGCTGGCCTGGCAGTCTGGAAGTAGAAGAGTCTAACAGGAATATTCTGAAAGTACCAATACCAACTCCTAATGCAGTGAGGGTAAATTCAATCATTGAATCTCTTGCTTTGTGAACTGCTTGTCTTGTACCTCTAACTCTGTGATCCACAGCTCATTATTATTCTTTGACTTGATTGAGTTCTATGCTTTTTTATCTCTCCCATTATGTTTGCCTGTATTAACCACATTGATCTGATGCACAAGTTTACCTGTTTTCAGTTAAATTTACATAATCCTTCTGTTTAGCATATATCCAAATGTATCTGCATACTTTTTTTGGATGCAATAAACTTTTGAAATTTGCTTTTTATACTGAACTACTTTAGTTTATACCCAGCTGTTAGTATTCCTCGTTTGTTGCCTTTTACCCTAATATTTCATGAACCTTCTTGCCCTCTAGCAGAGCTCTAATTATCAACTGTTTACCTTTGACAGTAAAATTAACTGAAAATCTTCCTAGTGATGCTTTACTGTTTCTCAGTAGACTCTTTGATTGTTCATTTTCCTGTTTACCTATTATTACCTATTGTCTTTGCCTGTTTATCTATTATGGGAAGATAGTCATGTAAACATCAAAGTTTGTGGATGTGGTGAAAAATGGTGTCCTAAAGTAATTTTTGGTAGTGATAGCTATCAATTTTGTAGGAGACCTATCAATTTAAGGGGTCCTGACCCATTGTGGGGCATTTTATAAAGTTAGCTATCAGTAGACATTTGTTCCCTGTTTTATCTAAAGTGCAGTCAATGTATACAATTCGTATACAGTTAATTCACTTGGATCAATACAGGTAACAGCTGAAGTCTTACTATGAAGGCTGAGATTAGAGTGGAGCTTAGGGGTTTGGGGAGAGCCATAATGTATGTACAAAGCTCTGATTATGGAAGAAAGCTGATAGATAACTGCAATTTTCAGAGGGTGCTTCAGATGTTACAATAGTTGCTGGTACAAAAAAGGGGCTGTTGCCCCTGAATTCCATGAAATTTAATTAATTGATTCTTAGCACTAACCTAAAAGAATGCAAGAAATGAGGGAGTTAAATTTCTGCTGGCTTAAGTAATTGAAGCAGTTTTCCACAGCATCACACAGGTACAAAACCATAGCATAAGGAAGGCAATATCAGGGAGCAGGCAATGGCCTGGGCTGACCCTTTATCAGATAAATCAGATCTGATAAAGCAGGTCTGCCTCTGTGATCCCCTCTCTCTGGGGATCTGTCTGACAGCTGGGCACTGATCCTGAGGCACTGGCAAAGCAGAGGGAAGAGGAGGGACCAGGAGAAACAGCAGACAGCTTGACCAGGGACACAGACCACATCCTTTGCATGATGTTCTAGGAGGGACTGCTTGTACTCCTACTTTCAGAAGATACACTAATTAGATGGCAGCTCTCTCATGGTGGAAAAAAAAGTGCTTCATAAGCTAGAAGGAGTTAAAGGAAAAGAATCTGTGCTCTGGTCTTGAGCTCTTGAGGTACCAGTTGGAACAAACCATGATGGCTTTTCAATAGTTTGCCAGTTGATGGATTAATATGTATGTTTAATTTCACTTTTTACTGATTCTTTTAGGTGATTGTGCAGGACATTGCTGGACAGGTTTTCCCAGCCTAAAGTGGAAGATACAGGAGAAAATTTATTAATTTATTAATTGCTGTCATAGTCAAACTGCTATGAGACCAACCTGTAGTTCTACTTCAGAAAATACTGAAATGGCTTCTTGAGAAGTTCCTGCTTTGTTTCTCATTGATATTTTTGACAAATATTGACTGCAGCATCCAACATGGTCCTCTAATTCTAACATCGGATGTTCAAGTTCAGTTGTAGTCAGCAATAGTGCTCTCTTCCTTAATAAAGGTCCCCTATTTTTTTGGCTGCCCCATGACCATTTCACTGATTTTTTTTAAACTTGGATTGTATGCCTGGTTCTATCAGTCAGCTTTGATTTTCAAAGATCACCTACTCCAAGTTCAAACCCAACTCATCAGGCAGAGAAAGAAGCAAAGGTGGCAGGAGGCATGAATGTGATATCCCTGAAAAACCTCAAACATTAAAGGAGGCATTCTAGGGGTAGAAGCAAGGTCAAGTGACCTGAGGGGAATGTAGATACACTCTTTGAGTATGCAGGGATGGGGTCAGGAAGGATTAAACCCACTAGAGGGGATTTAATCTGGTGAGCAACAAGAAAGGTTTTTCTGCTTGTACACCAGCAGTAGAGAGTGAGAAGAGGATGGAGCCTGGCTGTTCTCAGGGTGCCCAGTGAATGGGCAAGAGGCAAGGGGCACAAACTGAAATTAAAAAAATATAATATAAAAATAAGAAAAAATGTTTTCACCATGAGGACGTTCAAGCCAAGGAACAGGTTTCTGAGGAGGTTGTGGATTCTCCAGCTGTGGAGATACTCAACACCTGGCTGTCCATGATCCTTAGCAGTCTGCTGAGGGTGACCCTGCTTTGAGCAGTGGGGTTGGACTAGATGGTCTCCAGAGGTCCTTTCCAGCTGTAAAGGATGGAATTTCTGTGAATTCTGAATGTTGAGTTATTTTGTTTTCCAATGACACATGGAAAAGTAGTTTAAAGATTTGAGAATATAATCAGGTCAGTTACATTTATAAACCTCCTAGGAAATTTTAGGAGTAGTACTTTTGTGTAGAGAGTTACATCATAAAAATTAAGTACTGAGCTTCTGCCAATGGATTGATGCTTTAAGCCCATCTCAGTCCTGTGTTTTCATACTTTGCATAACTTTAATAGTTTTACATAAAACAAGTCTCCAGTGTGGTGAGGAGTCAGCTTACTGAAGTGTTATCTTTACTTACTGACCTTCCTTTGACATCCATTGCAGGGAAGCTATTTGTCCTGGGATATGGGTCTTTCTCCAGGGGCTCTGTGAGGTTGTAAGTGATTCCCAACTGATTTAGGTTCTGGCAATCTGTGACTGTGGCAAAAGGAGATGGTGTTCAGGGAGAGCATAACATGACTGGTGTGCAGGGCCTCTTCCCCTAACACCAAGAATCATTGTCTTGAGGTATTAGAGGCTGCACCCCTTTAAACAGGGGGTATTCATATTTGGATCTCCTGTCTGAATTGGTCTGATTTTTCTTGTGATGGTTCCCAGCCCTTTTTGGCTATATGGCTGCTGCATGTCAAGCTGATGGTTGGAGGGAAGGGTGACTCCAAGATCTCCTTCCTGAGGAGCTGTACCCACCAGCTGATAGACTTGTAACTGTTCCAGCTGCACTCATCAGTTGGTTAAAAGTGTTTAAAGAGCTCTGAAAAGAAACATGGAAATGCAGCAGGCTGTTCTGAGGAATTTGTTATTATGTGTCAGCCATATGACAGCAGTAGTCAAAAAAAAAGATTGTTGCCTTAAAAACAGTTCAGTAGTTACAAAAAAGCTTCTGGAAGTGTGAAATGTATATTTGACCACTGCCTCCACTAAGGTTTCAGTTCAGGAGTGTGCTGCCACTGACAGTCAGGAGTGAGCTGTTTGCTCCTGGTCCGTGCAGTGCAAAGATGCTGCAGCAGATCGGTGCCAGTGCAGGCAGGTGCAGAAGAGGAGGCTCAGGCATGGTAGGCAGAGGTTCTGCTTTCACTCTTGCAACTCCTGGTTTCTTTCAGCCTAGTCTGTTTATATGTAGTAGGCTTTGTGCAGTGAGTTGTATCACATATTGGCTAAATGTGTTTTACTTGGACATCGGTGTTCTCATGCAGATTATCCTGACAATGTTTCCTTTGGAAACACCAAATGAGTAGTGGAGGTGTATCTTAAATGTTTAGTGTGCATTTCTCCTAAGGACTAGTTGAGAGAAGGAATAAATCAGTGACAGTCTGGGTATTAGCCTTGTATGTACCTACCAAATACCATGGACATGAAATATGGAAGGAATGGTACAATGTGTACATAGACAATGATTTACATACAGGTAGGAAGAGTGCAGAGCTTGTAAAAGTTTTTCCAAAGGCCTGCACATAGAAATTTTCTCATTATTGTGCTTGAAGATATCTGTGAGTCAGAATTGGAAAAATGAAATTAAATTTAAAAACAGTCTAAATTTTAAAAGTGTGAAAAGCTTTCGGGGTATTTTTGTTTGGGGTTGTTTTTGCTTTTGTTTTTTTTTTCTTTTTTTTGAGGGGGATTGCTTGGGTATCCAGACAGTGCAGCAAAGGTTGGGATTGCATTGGCAAAGTATGTATGATGTTCTAGATTAAAGAAGGTGTATGTACAGGTATTTCCTTTTTGTTACATTGAATACAAATGTATATAAATGCTTGTCTCCAAGCATTTAATCAGTGTTGTTCTTTAAAAGTACATATAATTTAAATGAAGCCTCTTCTATGACCTAAATTGCTATCTGAAAACTAGTAACAAGGTTCTATTTTTTCCTAATCAGCAAATTTATAAGATTGGAAATCACTTGATGCAGCATCATTTTTGAAAGAAGGCAGCTTATCTATGAATTGCATCATCCAGTTTAAAGGGGAAAAGAGTTTTTAAGTGCAGCTTGTAGCTGTGCTTTTGCCTTTGGTAGCAAAGGTTCCTTCCCCAAAAGGCCTGAAGTAATAGAATTTTAGTAAGATAAGAGATGATGGAGTCATGGAATGGTTTGGGTTGGGCGAGACCTTAAAGATCATCTAGTTCCAGCCCTCTGGCCATGGGCAGGGACACTTTCCACTAGACATGATTGCTCAAAGTCCCATCCAACCTGGCCTTGACAATTACAGGGATGAGGTATCCACAGCTTCTCTGGGCAACCTGTTCCAGTGCCTCACCACCCTCAAAGTAAAGAATTTCTTCCTAATGTTTTATCTAAACCTACCCTCCCTCATCTTAAGGCCATTTCCCCTTGTTCTATTACTACTTGCTAAAACCTCCTGCTTGTCTTGACAGCTGTGGTTTTGTTTTGATTATTATACTTCATAATGTATCATATTTTTTAATATAGTCAAGTAACACTGACAGACTGTCTCTACTGTTCTTACTGGATCCTGTGAAGAAGAGCAGCAACTTTCATATTCTGTGCTTGGCACTCAGTGTGTGTTTTTGTGAGTATGCTATCAAAGTAAAAATAATCCATACCTAGTTATTCACCTTGACGGAGGGAGAATCAAACCTTTAATAAAGTTTTAAAAGCAATTTATGCTGTATGCTTAATGGTCACAGTAAATTTAGAGAACACACTGTAGTGCACATGGCACTGGTGAGCCAATGCTCTTACCCTTCTTGCTTGCAGGGCAGGAAGTTGTAGTTTGGTGATCACAGAGAGGGACAATATGTGTAAAGCAGGTTAAATCTAAAGAGTTTCATAATGTATGTGGCTGTCCTATCTGTCAGCTCTTTCTAGACATGACAGTTTGTTTCATTTCTTGTCTACTGGAGCCCTTTAGACTGTCTTTAAAGCTGCCTAGATTCTCCTCTTACTGTGATACATTAAAATGGAGCCCAGCTGTACTTGATGGCATCCCAAAACCACAGAGGATTGGTATTGTTTGCTCAGCAAGGGAGAGCTCTTGCTGCAGTCACCAGACCAGCTCTGTTCCCAGGCGTGGCCATCCCCTGCAGCTCCAGTGACACCACGTGCAGGGGCCACAGCCACTGCTGCCTGCCAGCCCTAGTGGCAGCAGTGGCAGCCCACTCTGTGCCTGCCAGTCTGTCACCCACACTGATGGGGATTTCTGCTCTCTGTAGGTTCAAGGTGCAAGTTTCCGGGGCTGGAAGGAAGTGACCTCTATGTTCAATAAAGACGACGAACAGCAATTGCTAGCAGGATGCAAGTCTCCAAAATCCAAAGGGTGAGTAAAGCCATTTATAGTCTATCTGCTATTGAAATACTATTAAAACACAGAAAATTGCTGTGCAAATTAATGGAGCTGGATGCTGAGGAACAGCAGTGCCCAACTGCTGGAAGTCAAATTGACACAGGAAGTTTTGTGAGCAAAGCTATATATACATTAAGCTTACAATGAATAAGGCATGCTGTATTAGGAAAGGACAGATGATATTTTAAACATTTTTAGGCTTGTCAGGGAAGAAAAAGGAATTTAGCTGCATAATAATTTTCTTACTGTAGAAAAGTAGTAAAGGCTTGTGAGTAAAAGGGTCATTCTCACACTTTCACTATCCTCTTAGGGATTAATTATGGTTGAGTTTACAAATTCCCTTTTTTACATGCCTTGCTCTCTCTTTTGATGTCTTACTCCACCTAGAAAGGTTAAGTGGAGTAGCTGTACTAGGATCTGGAAGTCTTCCCTGTTGGCACTGAGCTGTGTTTTGGCACAGCTGTGTGCTGGTGTGGTGAGGGCAGCTCCCTGGACAGAACACATTTCCAGGACAGACCATCTTCCTGTTACAAGTGTGTGTAGGCTTCCCCTGCACGTGCTGCCTCACTGCCCTGGTTACAAACCAAATATACCACATAGCAGTAGATCTGTTCCTGCCAAATATTAGCTTTGATAAGCTAATATCAAAATGGCTGATTTGCTGTAGTAGGCTTTGTCTCCAGTTAACTTTGAAATAAATGTGTTTCGGGATGCAACACCACATATCTGCATATAGGGAGTGTATGTGTATAAATAAACAATTTAGAATATAAATCCATGTATTTTATTTCCATTTGAGCCTCTTCCATAAAACTTCCCAAAAGTTGCCAGCCACTAACCCATGAGCCATCTTATGGGTGTTATTAAGATGCTAGGCTACTGTAATAATGCTTTGCAATTGATGCTGAATGTAAGAACCAAGTAATACAGTGAAAACAGCAGAAGTATGATAACAAAGTTACCACCAATGTAGAAAGCTATTTTGGTATTACTGCCTGTTTTTTAAGTTCAGGATATTATTCTTTAATTATACACCATGATTTTTACTTCACTTTTAAAGACACATGCAACTTTCAAGTGTGCTGTTTACAAAATACAGGAGTGTTTGGAGTCTGTGGCTGGTTTTAGAAAAATGAAATTTCTGAGGAATCATAAATTCAAAATCCAGTAAAGAAAAAGTGATTTTTAAAGGTATTGGTTGAGTTGCTTCTGTTTAAATATGATAGAATTCATATTTATGGAACATTAATTGTTCATTAATGGAACAAAGCTTTTTTAATAGAAATGTTTAAAAGAGATTCAATGGTGAGTTTAGTTGTGGCTAAGGAATTGATATGCTACTACAGATAATGTTTTCAGTTTGCTTTTTAGCTCATTGAACTGTTAAGGTTGTATCTTTCACCTCTGGTGTTCAATCTTTCCTTGTGGACCATTATTTGATTATATACATAATCCTGCATATAAAATTATGCATAATTATTTGACATTCTGTAATTCAAATATTTCACACTGCAAAATTATTCAGGTTGAAGATTCTTAAGGGGATAAGAAAAGTAATAATGTGAGTAGCCTTTCAAATGTCTGAGAGAGAAGTTCCAGTTATTGTTTGGGTTTGGGAGGGGCATTTTGAGAGATCTTACCAGAAATACAAAACAGCTCTTATCACATTATTGTGTGGATTTTTATGAAAGTATTAATAAAAAAGCTTGGTATCTTTTAAGTCCTAATACTGTGTACATCAACTATTTTGAGGTATAAGGTTTACCTGGTAAGGTAGTAGCAGGTATATGAAACCGAGTAACACAGTGAGTGTTAAAGCTGGTGTTAGAACATTTTCAAATTCTTTCTACTATTGTAGTCCTAGGTTCTTTAAAATTTGGTTTTGTTTTTTGTTGGTTTTTTTTTTGTTAAAGTCCTAAATTGTTCAAATGCATCCTAAAATCCTTCATACGTTTCCAAAGGCAGCTCTGTGGAGTTCACCCCACAGGAATGGGCTGGGGATAGTGGTGCGTCAATTCTATTGTAATAGAAAATGACCATACTCAGTCCTCTTCTGATTTATCACTGCAGGATTCAGCTGTGTTTAGGTTTATGTGTATGTGAGGGTGTTTTTCCTGAAGCTGACAGCAATGGCTGTGCTGCCACAGGCTGACAATGATTAGCACTCCTTACTGTAAAACATAATTTAATTGAATGTTTATTAATAACTACTCCGTACATTCTTAAATGAAGGAATTAATCACGACATCATTGTTATTTTCTAGAACAAATCTAAAACTAAAGGAAGAGATGAAGTCTGAAAAGAAGCCAGGTTTTTGGGACAGTTTGGTGATAAAGCAGAATGTTCCATCTAGGAAACCAGATGAGATTGAGGGATGGGAACCACCACAGATTACCACTGCTGACTCTACCAGTGATGCAGCAACTCCTTTAAGTGACTATTCAGCCTGGTCAGGCTGGGAAGATGAAACCAAAGGCTCCACAAAATACACAAACCTGGCCAGCTCAGGAAACAGCTCCAGGTGGAGTATCAAATCAGCTGGAAAGCTGGTCAGTATTAGACGTCAAAGCAAAGGTAACCTTACTGACAACTGGGAAGAACTAGAATGATACTGGTAATACTGGTGAAATACTTTATACATAAGAAGAGAACAGTTCCATGATTTATTCACATGTTTAAACCAAAATCAAATCTGCTCAATATTGCACCTTTATACAGTAATTTGTTTTATTCAGATTGTTACAAATTTTTTGCTCACCTGATAGTAAATTTTCTTATTACATTGTTAATAGCTATGTTTTCCACACTGAAAAAAAGTAGAGAATCTATTTTGTGCCTATATTTCACATTCAGACTTTGCAGTATGTCAGATTGTTGGTTTTACCAAAAAAATGTAATTCCTTAGTGAATGTATACACTGGTTGTAAATTTGACTGCCTTATGAAGGAACTGCCACTAGCTTGAGGTCCTGCTTCTGGTATTTGAGGGCCATTCAAAATTTTAGTTTTGATGCTGTCCCTTTTAAACTAAGAATACCAATCTGTGGCTTGCAGGGAGAGGGCTTGTACTTAGTACTGTTTTCCAAATCTTCAGCCTCAGCTTATGCTTCAGCTTGTGCATACAAGATGCTTAGTGGCACATTGTGCTGTACTCTGTGTGACATGGGAAAATACTGTTCTGATGTAATTCCTTCCATTACAGGATTGTCATCAACAGTCAGGATCTTCCAGAGTTGGGGTGTTTTTTGTGTTTTCGATTTTTTCCCTGCTTTTTTGATTGTTGTTTTTTGGTTTGTTTTTGTTTTTTTGTTTTTTTGGGTTTTTTTTGGTTGCTTGCTTTTTTTTTTTTAATACTGAACTTCTTTTGACAAAGCTAAGTTTCTCAGTTTGTAAGATGCGTGTTATGCCAAAAATAGAAATTACTGAAAATTTGGAAAACAGGATTGAGTAAACTGTAAGATGATGTCAGCATTCTGGAGGAATAATGAATCTGGATGTAGGAATAAGTTGCTTCTTATGGAAAGGCATATGTTTGCATTTTTTTACAATAGCTGATCCTTGTTTTACAAACAACCTTTTTGGTTTTGGCTGTGTTTTTCCTTCCTTCCCACTGGATAAGCAATGATTGAATTATACTCCAGCATTTTCAGGGTAGCTGAGTAACTGAGCCATGGCAAGTTTGTGCATGCACACAACATTTTTGTTGAAAGTTCCATCTTATTAGCTACTGATACTTTGAGTTTTTGGTAAAAGAAAGTGAAATGTTAAACTTGAGATTTGAAATGTATATATGACTAATAAAAGTGCCTCTTTTTAGCATATTGTCTCTCACTAGTGGTGCAGCTGATGTCAGATCCAAAGTCAATTTCTATTTTGTTTATATGACCCACACAAAGATTACTTTAACATTCATGAACAAAAATCGAACCAAAAGTTTCATAAGAAATTAACAGTAGGAATTTTCTCTCCTGATTGTTAAACTGGTGTAACAGAATTGAAACTTGACTGTCTAGCAATATGGCCAGTGCAGTCGGAAGATGAGGCTAGCATGTCAGAGAAAATCAGCATTTTTACAAGAAAGTATAGACCTTTATATAACGGATGTCTTGTAAACATATTTTTGCAAGAAGCTTGTGCTGATGAAAAGGGATGCATGCAATTTTTTTCTAAGCTTGTTTCTGTTACTGCCACATTACTCCTCCCTTAGCTCTCTTTCTCCTCCTCCAATTCATGTGCAGTTTTCTGGCTTGCAGTTCCTGCATAGCTATTTTTTGGAGATTCCTGCTGAGATGTGCCTGGAGGGAAACTGTAGCAAAATGGTTTTAGGAGTTTGGGGTTTTTTCCTAATATTGATAGGATGCTAAAATACATTGTTCTGAGGTTTACCAAAAAGAATGGTGATGTTTTGTGCTACAAAACAGAATCTTAAAACTGGCAAATATACTTATAAAATTTGCATTAGATATTAAAAACTATTTATAGGGGAGAAAAGGTTAGCATTTATATTGCATTGTTTAGTCTGTGAGTAAACTCTATTTTTGCCTTGGGCAAATATGTATGCTGAGGTTAATTATAGGAAAGAATTAGTATTCTTGGGTATAGTATGCTGCATTTTATAGTTTATGGAATACCCTCTAAGGCATGAGCTAGTATTTAAGTTGGTTGTTGGTGCTGATCTGGAAGAACAGAAAAAGATCTGTTAGCAGCCCTTAATATTCTCAAAGATGGACTGAGAACTTTTAATTTCACTCCTGAAGAAACTATTTATACTGTGACTAGTAAGGGTTTTGCCTTGCACATTATACTGTCAAGTGCCTGTTTCTCACCTTGATGATGTGTTTGATGCACAGCTTAACTGCAACCTTTTTCAATTTGTTTTTAGATGTATGATAAAGAATATGCTCACAAATATGAAGCCTATTATAAAAGAAAAGTGGGAAATTGAGATATGTAAAATTCCAGTTTCATTCCTAGTGATGAAAGTTTTGGTGTGCTTTTTAAGTGATATTTCCTCAGAAATCACCATTTTAAGGATCAACATTATTAAATTTAATATAATTTATTGTTATGCTTTAATAATGTATTTGTCTGTTGAGAACTCACTGGTGTGAGCTTTCTTTCTCTCATGTTTATAAATGTGTCTGAATTTTCAGAATGGGGTCCTTTCATCTTTTACCTTTGTTAGATGCTTAACTACATTAAATGTTACGAGCTTAAGCTGTACACAGCTCCATTTGTGGAATAAGTGTAGAATATGTCCTTAATATTTGTTTTGAAATTGCATTTCAATCTATGTGAAATGTTTTAGAAGAAGGTAGCATTAAGATGGTATGATAAGATTGCACAAAATAAAATATAGTTTATATTGCTTTCTCGTAGCCAATCTGCATGATTGTTGGCGTGGTTTTAACGGGAATTAAAAGCTTTGTGTGGCTGTTACTAGTCACTTAGCTCTGAGCAAAGTCCTTTCTGAGTATTTTTATTTATTAGCATCATTTGCAAAAGAAAAGTAGTATTTTCCATATGAATAAAGATTTAGTTTGAACTGAAATGCTTTATTCTTTGACTTTTTTTTTCCAGTTGAATTTGTCATGTGAATATGTTTACCTTTGCTTGGACAGGTTTGGCCACCACAACATAAGGAAGATAATTAAACTATTAGAGAGTGTCCAAAGGAGGGCAACAAAGATGGGGAAGGGCCTTGAGGGGAAGCTGTGTGAGGAGGGGCTGAGGGCACTTGGTCTGTTCAGCCTGGAGGAGACTGAGGGAAACCTCACTGCAGTTACAGCTCCTTGTGAGGGGAAGAGGAGGGACAGACACTGATCTCTGCTCTGTGATGACAGTGACAGGACCCAAGGGAATGGCCTGAAGCTGTGTCAGGGGAGGTTTAGGTTGGATATCAGGAAAAGGTTCTTCACCCAGAGGGTGTTTGGGCACTGGAACAGCTCCCCAGGGAAGTGGTCACAGCACCAGCCTGACAGAGCTCAAGATGGGTTTAGACACTGCCCTTGGACACTGGTGTGACTCTTGGGGATGGTACTGTGCAGGGCCAGGAGTTGGACTCAGATCCTTGTGGGTCCCTTCCAACTCAGCTGATTCTGTGATTCTGTGATGTTACTTCCACCATTGCAGAGTATGGCCAAGGAAGTGATAGCAATGTTTGCCCAAACTGTGAATATCATAACTTGCAGCATTGTAGATTTAAAGCATCACACACTGCTTTTACAGTGGCAAGAATTCATTGGTTTCAACAAACTAACAATATTTTGGTATTTTTTTGGTTTAAAATACTGTGGCTTTTGCTGGTTTTTGGTTTTGGGGTTTGGGTTTTTTTTAACTTATTGGCCATTGTGAAAGCTTGGGCAGAGCATCATTCTTTCCCTGAAGATTTCCCAGCTACATGCAGAGTGGAGGACCTGAAATGCTTTTGCCCACACTGGCCCCCAACAAGGTGACACCTGCACAGCCTGGCCTGTGACACGTGAGGAGCAGCCACTGCTTCCAGTGCAGCAGCTGCAGAGGGAAGTTTATTGTCAGTGTCCCATTCTTCTACTCCAGTCTGCTGGCACTGTGGTTGTCTGCACAGACTGAGCAGGGAACATTTAGGCAAAATGTTTCTTGCCATAACGTGTGAAGTAACTAAACCAGAAAATCTCATTCATACAAGTTATACTCTTAGTGGGAGCAAAAAGACTGCATTGACACACCCCTGACTAGACACAGCGGGCAGGTGCACAGCTAGGCAGCTGGAAGGAAGTGGAAGGACCTGCATTTCCAGAGCTGAGCAGACAAGAACCCTGTCAAATTTTGAGCATAGATGTTCCTATAGCCTGGCATTTGTCTCAATTTCTGAAACTTATCAAAATGCTTGTTATTGTATGACGAAACTGTAGGTTGTGTGCAATCTGAAAGCATGAATGTGCATGTTATATAGCTGTTTCATGCACATCCAAACTGTTTGTGCTAATTTGCAGGGGTTTGTTTGATCCTTTGCTCTGAGTGCCTGCTACTTTGTTTCTGAGGTATCTGGGAAATAAAATCAGTACTGTGAAGAGGAAAAGTATTTCCTAGAAGGCTTATCACCAGCAACAGTTGGCAAAGGTGTGTATCATTAGATACTGTCAGTCTCAAAAACTTCTTGTAGCATGACTGATTTGTACCATATAAGACAGGGAAACAACCATACAGGCAAAAAAAGCCAGTTTAGAAATCAAAGGGAGAGAATTACATTTAAGTGCCATCAGCATCATTGTGGAGCCTTCCTGTTTTGAGGAGGCTGTAATGCTACACATCATAGCATAGCAAGTAATGCTGCTTCTGTAGTTACAAAGAAAGAGTATGAAAACAATAAAAATAGGAATATAAATAATAGGAATTTATATGAAATCTATAATAGCAAATAAGGTGTAGGGGATAATGGTTTTCCACATGGTATCTACTGACTGTTATCACTGGTAATGAAAAAAGAAATACCTACTCTGCACTTGGGAAGAAATTTTTCCTATTCTGTGTCCAGCAATTACTAAAAGGTGCAAGAAAGTGAGAATATTCTTTTCAAGGCCATAACAATCTGGTAAAAGCTTGGCTGGCATTAACATTTTTATGCTCTTGAGACCAAAATAGCACTACTAGAAGCTTTATGACACATTTTGAACTGTGAGTTTGCTATTGGAAAAGAAAAAGGATTATTCTTTGCATAGAAAAGTGCACAGCTGTGTTTTCTGAGATTGGTTTGTCCACTTCTGAAAGTAATCATGTGATATTTTGCTTTCTAGTTGCTCCAGCCGCTTGTACTGAGGAGACTGAACAGTTGAGTTTAAGTAATTTTTCAGACAATTGGCTGGTTTCATTATTTGAGATTGTACAGTAAAATATATCAGATTTTATATAGAAATATTCCTGTAAATTAGCAATGTCTTTTAGCCTTTTTTATCTTGCACCTTTTTCCTTGAAAACCCCAAATGCTGTGGTCTTGACCATCTTGTTTGTCCAGGAGTCTTGGATTCCCTACAAGGTTGCACTGCCAAATTCCTCTGGTATTTGAGGGGTGGAGGAAACACTGGAGAAAGTGTTTGTTCTGGAGAAAGGATGGGAGGCAAATGTATCCTGACACCAAGTACTGCACTTGGCATATTTTTTTTTTTCTGCTAAAGTTTTCTAATATGCAAGATGATGAATATTAATTTTTATTTTGATTGGTTTTATTTTTTGTACTTCTCTGTTAGCTTTTTAAGAGGGGTGTCAAAGATGCAAAGACATCCTGATTGCATGAAGAACAATTTTTTGGTGTTTCTCTCATGAC